TTTTTTTTTTTCTAGGCACAAAGCCAGTGCCCAGAAAACTGTCCGTTTTCCCCTCCACAAAATGAACATCCACTGATTATCTGTGTAGAGGTGACCCTCTGTCTGTGTGGATAGGGTTGCATCCTGCGTTTCGCCACTGGATGCTGAATCAGGAGCTTTTTTATGGCATGAGACACCCTCCCCAAAGAGCATTTTCAGGACTGTGTAATATTTGGCACTAAGCCGGTAACGCAGGTTAATTTCACACTGCAGACGCTTTTGCCAACGTGCCCCACCTCTCACCTGCTCTATTTTTCCCTATACACCTTCTCCATCCGACAAACTGTGTTTTGCTTATTTATCTGGTTTGTGGCCCACGTCTGCCACCAGAATACCAGCTGCGTGAGCAGCGACTGCACCTGTTTTCTCCTTGCTGAGTCTCCAGGGCAGAGAATGGGACCAGGGACACACTGAGTGCTCCCTGAGTCCTTTATGAGAGAACACACATACATCTCTGATTACATCTCGGGTTCCCAGAGGCAGAATTTCTGGCTCACAAACATGGATATTGTTACGGCTTTTTATATGTTTCCCAAGTTCCCATCAAAATGATCGTCACTTTACCTGTCCACCTCCCACATGTAAAAGTGCATGTTTTCTTGCATCCTCAACAAACTTGGAGATTCTTTTTAAAATAAAAGTTCACTGGTCTGGCAAATGGGGAACGCTTACTTGGTTTAAGGCGCATGTCTTTTGTTATTGGTGAAATTGGGCACTTGCTTGCTTACGTTGCTTCTTCGGCAATTTTCCCATTCATATCCTTTGCCCATTTTTCTATTATGCTGTTTGTGATTTTTTTCTTGTTGATTTATAAGAGCTCTTTACATATTAAGGACATTAATAGCTTGTCTTTTGTTTTTTTTTTTTTTTAGGTTAAGCCACCTTCATTTCTCACTTAGTGGACTGCAAGAGCCCCTTTCTGCTTCCATTCCTGTCCCCTCTGTTATCTTTTCAAAATGTAAACTCGATCCAGTCTTTGTCCCTACTGAAAACTCTTCCGTGAGTATGCCTCAAATTTGGAATGAAATACAAATCCTTCACAGGTCCTAATTCCTGCTTACCTCCCAACATCACCCTTACCCTGTGATTCTCTTCCCTCATTGCACTTCAGCCACAGACCTTTCTTTCAACTCTTCAAACACACTGACACGGTCCTGCCTCAGGGCCTTTGCACCAGCTGTTCCCTCCCACCTGCAGCTCTCTTCCTCCGGCTCTTTGCATGGCTGGTTCCAACTCATCCTTCAGGTCTCAGCTAAGGTGTTACCTCTTTTTTTTTTTTTTTTTTTTTTTTTTTTTTTTTTGTAAGTTCTATGCCCAATGTGGGGCTCCAACTCATGACCTGAGATCAAGAATCTCATGTTCTGTTGACTGAGCCAGCCAGGCACCCCTAGATGTTACCTCTTTTGAGAGACTGTCCTGACGACCCCACCTAAAGCTGTCCCATTGTCCCCTCCCACCCACTGGCCCTCTGCATTTCATCTCCCTGGGTTGATTTCTTCAATCCATTTATCACCTCCTGGTGTCACTCACTCTCTGGAATGTCAGCTCCAGGAGGGCAGGGACTTTGCCTTGTTCCATTGCTATACCCTTAGCACTTAGGACAATGCCTGGCACAGAGTATGTGCTCCATAGCTTGACAAGTGTTTGTGGAAGGAAGGAAGGAAGGAAGGAAGGAAGGAAGGAAGGAAGGGGAGAAAAGGCCACTCTTCCCATTGCCTGGCATTCCTCCATCGTTCTTTGAGCTTGAAAGGTCCCCTCGTCAGTCTCTGTGGACATGAGGGATGCCCAAGTTTCAGCTAACGCTTTAATCCTTCCTTCCTTCTTCCCTGCAACATTCCCCATGTCTTACCAAGAGGCTACTGCATGCCAGGCACTGTTTCACGTCCTGGTGCCCTGGTGTGGTCCCTGTCCTCATGAGCTCACTCGCTCCTGCCTTAGCCAGCACTTCTGGTAAAAGAAACACACCAGGAGTCGGCTGACGCTTTAGCAGAAGTTAGCGGGGGGAAACTTGACTAACATGGGGGTGGGGGTCGCGGGCACAGGAATCTGGGAGGAAAGTGGAGATTTCACAGCCTTTGCTGCGGTCGCTTGGGGGACGCCCACTGATCCCCATCCACCGCTGGCTGGTCACTCTGAGCCTCAGCTGGAGCCCAGCACCCACCTCATTCCTATTTCCTCTCTGTCCTGCTCCCCTCCAAGCCCTACGTCTGGGTCTACAGACCCCAAACTGCTGTCAGATTGGTAAGATCTCTCAACTAGACATGATTCTCACCAAAGGTCTCATACCCTGGCTATAGGTGGTGCTGGTGCTAAGCCTGCCCCCGTCCCCACATGGCCACGTGTCCCCGGGGCCCCCAGCCGGCACCTCAGGTGGACCTGAGCGCAGGCATCCCAGCATAGAGAGGAAGGGAGCCCCCTAAGGGGACACTGTTCCTCTTGGGGAGCGTCATGAGCTCCCCAAACCCCAGCCCACACCCACGGGGACAGAATGAAGGTTCCAGAGGCAAAGGACGTAGGTGCACCCCACATTTGACCCCATGCCGAGCAAGTCGTGTCACCTCCCTGTGCCTCAGTTTAGTCACCTGTGAAAGGGGGCATTGATTCTCCCCACCTCGGCAGCTTAACTGGGACGTTAGTGTGCGTTGCTGAGCTCGGGACCTGGCTCTGGTGGGGTGTCAGCAAATGGTCGTTCCTGTCCCCTCCTCTTGTGCTTGAAGCTTGGGGCCGAGAGCGGGGCCCAGCAGGGTGGAGAGACACACCGTCTAATGGCCGCTGCTCCAGTGTGGAGGCTGAGGCCCAGGGAGGGGGCAGTGACTTCCTTAGCATACGTCAGTGGCACTCCAGTGCCTAAATCTTGACATGGCCGCTTCTGAATCTGACCCCTGACCTCTGCTTGGATATGCAGACTTATAAGCAGGGACGTTGCCAGAGACAGCGCCCACAAACCCGTCGGCCCGGACCACCCTAGAAGGCTGCGATGTGCATCAAAAAGGGGAACCTGGGTTGGCTCAGTCGGTTGTCTGTCTGCCTCCTGATTTTGGCTCAAGTCATGATCCCAGGGTTGTGGAATGGAGCCTGCTTAAGATTTTCTCTCTCTCTCTCTCTCTCTCTC